GTTGGATAATTTTATGAACACCTGGGCCCCATTTGCTGAATTTTTTAGTTTGATTTTTTATTGATTGATTTAGTGCACAGCTCATATTTATACTCCACCTTCGGCTTTTTAATGATTAAAGGCCTATTAGGGAACAAATAGCTGAAAATATCTTGTGATATGCATGTAAGTTGCTTTATGTATGTACATTTTCTTTGAATGTACAACTTTTTTCATTTTTTGCTCCTGTTTCACTCTTCTGTACAGCCTCTGTTTACTAGTTGTCTCTCCAGACCATATTATTAATATTTTGGTATTCATTTTGTGTCATCTGACCATTTGCCTGCTTGACCCTTGACCATCCTGGCACGTTGGAAAAGCTATGGAGGGAGTTCATACCTGGGTCCAAGAGGCTGCCAATGCCTTGTTAAGAAAGGGAGTGGTCCCAGCATCTTTAAAGGAGGCTCTGATGAGGCCTCCCCTTAAAAAGTGAAGCCTGGACCCACATTGGTCACCAGCTATTGGACTGTGGCCAACCTTCCCATTTTGGGCAAGATATTGAGCCGAGTGGTGGCCGGGCAACTCCAGGTACTCTTGGATGAAATGGATTTTCTAGATCCATTTCAATCAGGCTTCAGGCCAGGATTTGGAATGGAAGCTGCCTTGGTCAAGATAACTTTTGCTGGGAGAGATCCTGTTGTAGTGCAATCCTGTTGGTTCTCCTGGACCTTTCAGTGACTTTCAACACCCTTGAGCATGGTGTCCTTCTGGACAGGCTGACTGGTATGGGAGTTGGGGGGACCACTCTGTGGTGATTCCACTCCTTTCTGGCCAACCATGTCCAGAAGGTGGTGCTGGGGTATAGATGCTCTGCCCCATGGTGATTATGCCATGGGGTCCTGCAGGGCTCTATACTATCCCCCATGTTGTTCAACATCTACATGAAACCTTTGGGAGAGGTCATTAGGAGGTGTGAGCTGAGGTGTCAGCAGTATTGAAAATATGCAGCTCTACCTCTCATTCACAACTAATCCAGGTGAGTCAGCCTCTCCAGAACCTGTCTCGAGGCTCAATAATGGACTGGATGAGGCTCAATAAACAAGCTCAATCCAGGCAAGTTAGAAGTACTGTTAGTAGGCGGTACTTCTGGCAGGTTGGAGGGCCATTATCCTGGCCATTCCCCTGGATGGGTGGCACTCTCCCTTAAGGACAGGTTTCGCAGCTTGGGACCCAGGACTATCTTTGGAAGCTCAGGTAGACGCAGTGACCAAGAGGCCCTTCCTTCAGCTGTAAGGAATTTACCAACTTCATGCCTACCTGGACAGAGAGAGTCTTGCTGCAGTTATGCAGGCACTGGTAATATCCAGGTTGTATTACTGTAAAGCACTCTATGCAGGGCAGCCTTTGAAGAAAGCAGATTCAGCTGGTTTAGTATCAGGCCTCGTGTTTGACAATCGTACCACCTCATGGGCCCGTATTACACCAATTCTTTGCAATCTAAATTGGTTACCAGTTGTAGCCTAAGTGCTTCTTTTGACATATAAACACCTTAGGACCTGGGTACCTTCTCCCACACATACTGGCCTGTCCATTAAGAACTGGGCAGGAGGGCCTTCTAAAGGAGCCATCCCTCAAGTAGGTTAGAGGGTGGCAAATAAAAGAAGGACCTTGTCATTGGCTGTCCCCTTCTTATGAAGTAAATTTTCCAGAGAAATTGGCCTGGTGCCAACGTTACTCTTTTTCTGACACCAGGTGAAATATTTCTCTTTTCTAGATATTTTAATCCATAACAATTTTAACAGCTAGTTTATATTAATTGCTCGTTTTGGTTGTTCCCCCAGCAGTTTTAGTGTTTTATTGTAATGACTTAATTATTGTTGCAATAGTACCTATTTAATATTTTATTGTATTGGATTATTTTTATTGTTTTAATTTACAGTGCTATTTTAAATACTGTAAGCTGCCCCGAGACTCCATTAGGAGTAAAGAGGTAGTATATACATGCAAATAAATAAATAATATGTGTGAAGCATAATGGCATGCTTACCGTCATTTTCCCCTTGATAATAAAAATAACATGGATAGCCTTCAGATGTGCCAATGAATACTCTTATTCGTCTGTTTAATAATTACAAGGGTGCTAACAAATGGTGAGTCATTGAGCAAATATAGATGTGACGGAGGCAGGGCTAGAATGAGGTCAGATAGCAGAGTTTACTCATAGGTTAATAGTCTGAGGATTCTGTCCAAGGGTGAGTTAAGTGGGCTACATGAACCTGGGATCTCATCCATTCTTGTGATTCTCTGTTTCCAAGGGGCAGCACAAATGCTCCAGAATAACCTGTCATGTTTTAGGCTAGCTGCAATTTCCAGCTCAGTTCTTTGCAGTGGATGTAATTGTTTTCTTAGCAGACTGATTGTTAGAATAACTGGAATAAGATTGCAAAAAGCTTTCCAAATTTAAAGTGGTATAAAAATGATAATTTCCCCTCATAAATCAGTGTAAGATATCTGTTCTGTGCTGGCATTTCCTGGCCAATGGCCAGGTTTAAATATATAGCAGCTCATTGTAATAGATTTGGGGCATGATCCAACCAAATGTTAGGCATAGTTAGGTCCCACTGGTTCCAATAAGAGAGTTAAGCATGAGCTAACATTTGCTTAATATAGGACAATAAATTAGGCATGATAGAAGGAAAGTTTAAGGAATCTGACTGTTAGTATGAGCCATAATAGGATTACAGTTTGTTCTGTTTTCAATGTAAACAGCCTCAGAATATCTGCTGGAGGTGGTACACAGATTTATTAAATAATGTGCTGTATTTCTCATCAAGTTCTGCTGAAAGTGGTAGTCACCTTGTTCATGCAGAAATTGGTTTAAGAGGAGCCAGAAAAGGATCACGATAGGCTATCGTGCTTCGGTCCATACATAAAGCCAAAGTCATGGTTTATTTGACATATAGGATGGGTTCATGCAACATAATAAGCCACATGGCAGAACCGATACAACATGGCTTATAAACCACCCTACCCACAATATACTTTGCAGATGATTGGATGTTTCATGGGTAGACTGCCCTTTCCTCCCACTTTTCTCCCTTTGGCTTTTCCTTGAGCATCCCAGGGAACACCTGGTGGGGAACAATTAATCTTCGTCCTGCTCATCACAAGCTGTTTGGGGCACACTGGGCTTGACCCTTTCTGTAAACACCTTTAGATCATGAAAGCTGGTTACCAAGAGTTCCTTATTCCCAAAAAGGATCCAAAAGGGCAAGTTCCACCCTTTAGAAGCAGGGTCCTTAGGTTTGGAGTGTGGGAGATCAGGTGTCCCTGGTGGCCCCTCAAGTTTGAAAATGATTCCATGATGCTAGGTGTTAGGCACACTTGCCAAGTGTCTCTGTAGCAATTTGGATGATGTATGACATGTCCTGTCATCCAGGTTCATGGGTCAAACAGGCCCTCTAACAAGCCATATTTAAGCTACCAGGACAAGTTTTGTGAGTTCACATGAAACCCTAACCCCACCTCCACCCCATGGCTCAGTATATCTTGTGAACTCAATCACTGGTTGTTGGATTCTGCATCATCATCATATGCAAATGCAGCCATTCTAGTAAACCATGGTTTGTTAACCCCAGGCAACTCAGAAAAGGATCCCATGGTTCGTTGTTGAGTTCTGAATTCTGGGCTGTTCAAACCATGGGTTATTGTTAGGTATGAAACCAAAATGCGGGTTGTTCATGGATGGTTTTACTGGGCTACAGGTAAGAGTGGGTGGGATCAGACAAGCAACGCACTGTACTACATAGCACCAAAAAGGCATTTGGGCTATAGGAAGGGAGCAAGTAAAGGAGAAGGGAAACAAACATCCCAGGCATTGAAAGAACAACCTACAGATTGTTCAGTCTGCATAGGGTGACAAACCATAAACTAAATAAACCATGGCTTATCCGTAAGTGTTAACTAGGTCACTGACCTGGTTTGCACATAAGTAGCTAAACTTTTAGCCACTGATCCTGCTTTTTTAAACCATGCTTACAAAGCAAGGGACAGCCAGAAAGCCACAAGGCCACCTGAAAGACCTATGAGAACAGAAAAAGAACTATAACCATAACATAAATCTTACTTCCAGGTTACATGTAAGCCTTGCTATTTTGAGACTGAGGGGCAGGTTGAAATTTTTGGAAAGAAAAAGAAAAAAGTTAAAGAGCAGAGTGAGACAGATTTGGGAGGTCTGCTTTTTCCAAATTCTCCCTGCCTACTTTTTTGGGGGCAGACAGGCCCCTGGGTTCAGGAATATTGTGATTTATGATGAGAATGGACACTGGCAACTGCTATTTTATTCATATTTCATTTTCTTTTTTATTATTCATTAATGGATTTTATTATATTTTTCTAAGTAATAAAGAGCTGAAACCTGTGATTCTATATTCCTGACCCCTACAACAGGGAGTAACTCCCGTGAACTTTTCCCCATATATATGTAGGAAAAAGATTCCTGAGTTTGACTCAAGATTGGCAAATTAGATGATTCAGTCTGAGAGAGGATCATAATCCCAAACCAAGGTGAGGAAGGGTTTCCCTTCACATTTTGGGCTAGTCACATTGCTGATTAATTTCAGGTTCAAAGTAGCCTTAATGCTCAATAAATCCACATATGTGCATTTAAATCTCTCCCAGGATTTAACAGTGCTTTACTTTGGCTGGATATTTTAAAAATACGTTCACTGAGTCCTCAATAAAACAGGAGGTATAGTATATTGTAAGATAGTAAAAGATAATCATGATTTCTTATAAGTACATAGAAAAAAGTCACACTTTTTGCCATGAAAACTATCATTTTAGGATCATTAAAATATAGCCTAACTGTAGCACTATAGTTCCAACTGGAATTCTGAGGATATAATGAACCAAGCCAGTTTCCCTATGGCAAAAAGTGAGTGATTTCAGAACTGGATTAACTTCCTATCATAAATATGATAGCTATCTTATTCTTTTGATTTTTCTTCCTTCCCCTTTAGGTGACTCCATCTGTCTACAATTTTAGTGGCTGCATAGAAGTTACAGGAATCAATAACATGGGACCTTTCACCTTTTCTAATGCTGTGGATAAAAACAATATTGACAGCTGCAGGTAAATCACATTCGATGTCTTTTCCAGTCAAAAGAAACTGATCCTTTAAGATTTTCTTCACTCCAAGGACAGCAGTTTGTCTGCAATATATGTAGAAGAATGTTCTGTGTGTGTGTGTGTGTGTGCATGTGTGCGTGTGTGCGCGCATTTTCTCCATTTGTGTGTATTTTAAGAATACTACAATGAAGCCTGTCAATTTATGTATGCTGAGCATCTGCCCTTGGCAACTAAGGTATTTTAGGTTGAACAAGAGAATGCAACTAGAAACCAAACGGGATAATAGAGGGAAAATGCTGTTCTGCATTTCTTGCTGTTTTAGAATGTCCATGTGTTTTCTGTGTGAACGGCAGCAAAACCAATGCTCTGAGCACATGACACAAGATGGCAGAAAACACAGCATATGAGTATAAAACAAATGGTTGAAAGCCTGCATTTCTCTTTTTTGTTGCTGTTCTGTTAGATCATCTTTCGCTCTCTTATTTGGAAACAAGGCAGTAAACAGAGCTCTTTCACAAAGGCCGCTAAGCTTTTGAACCAGGCGCTAATCCTGGCACAGATTACATTAACTGAACTGTGTGAGCAACTGCTTCCCATGGGTTGCATTATGCACACCAGGTCATTTGCTATCCAATTTTAATGTATCTTGAGCAACTATAAATCCTGAGGTGAGCACGAGCAGGCCTGGAGCACAGTGCCAGCTGTCCTTGGGCTTCCTCTCAGAGGGAGTCTACCTTCTTGCCACCATTGTCCCCAGCTGCTGTTGCTCCTCTTCCTCATCCTCATCATTATTATTAGCACTGTTGCCACTTAGTTTCTTGAGGAGAACCAATGAACGACGAGGTAGTGGCACCCCCTGCTTTTTCTCAACACCACTTCCATAGTCTGGGCCAGAGGGAGAAGCAGCCAAACAAGGGAGCAGTTTGCCATGGTGAAGAGGAGATGGTTCCAGCCAGACCTGGTGCATTGGAACTAGACCCGCCCTCAGTCCAATTGCCGGCAAGCAAGTTAAGCAGAGGTACTAGAACTAAGAGAGCCAGAACATGCAAAGGATGGACTCTGGCGGGAGAAGAGTCAAGCAGTGGGCTTGCCCAAACAGTTGGCAAGCTTTTGAGTTCTGCATTACACTTCCGCCTAATGAATGTTTTGCAAGACATTCATACTGCCGCTGGGGCAAAATGTAGTCAGGAAGCTAAAACCCAAAACCAAAAGCCCACTCCAATTTGTTCGAACCTTTTCAGGTCTGACATGCACAGCAATTCCAATATTTATTCAAATAATTCTTTGCCTATTTTAAGCCACTATGAAACATTGCACATTGGTCTTGCATTTGTAGCCTGGCAGGGGCATTGTCGCCCTCCAGCTTTGTTTTGTCTGCTGTTTTTGTTTTTGCAATTCTGGGCAGAAGGCTAAAACTGGACAGTTAGGTGGTCCTAATGGGCCACCATAGAAAACATTGGCACTTCCATATTACTATCCTCTCCGCTCCCAAATGATACTATGGACGATTATTAATTAGCTTTTAAGCTTTATGTGGAGGCTGAATTTGTGGTCATCTGTGCAGCCATAATGTGCTCTGCATGGGGTTTCCCTTGAAGACAGTTCAGAAGCTTCAGCTTGTACAAATGTGGCAATCAGGCTAACGAATAGGAGCAGGCCATCCAGCAATTCAACTCCCATTGTGGCCCGTTTGCACTGCCTGCCTATATGCTTCTGAGTTCGATTCAAGGTGCTGGTTTTAGCCACAGTGGTTTGGGACCCCAGTACCTGCTGCAATGCCTCTTCCAATGACAGTGCATCTGGCCACTACACTGAACACCTGAGACTGACTCCAAATGCCTCCTCCAAGGGAGATTTGGCTGCTGACTGCCAGGCGGAAGGTCTTTCCCATGGTGGGCCCACATGGTGCAATAAGCTCCCCACTGAGCCCTCCCAGCAGCAAAGCTATTATGCTTTAAGCACAATGTTCCCATCTTTGCTGAGGCATTTACCGACTCCAAGTCGTAGGTGGGCGTGCATGGCCAGAAGAGGGGTATCACGAGGGCGGGGGTGGGGTAATGGGCAGCCCTAGAAGGATGGGCTGGTTCGAGCTACTTCGTTGTAAATGTATGATTTTGAATATGGCTTCAATGTTTAATGCAATTGTATGATGTTTTAATCTCTATTGAAATTCATTGTATTTTTTATTGTTGTTCACTGCCCAGAGTGCTTTGGCTATCGGGCACTCTAGAAATTAAAGAGTAAATAAATAAAAATGTCTGGTTGTATCTAGCGGTTGTTCAAGTAGAAGGCAGTCCACGCAACTGATCCTTCACTTCTCCTCCTCTTTCCCTTTGCATCTGCTCATCAGAGAAGGGTGCAGTATTAGTGGGGACTCAGCCAACATCAGGATGTGTGATCTCGGGCCAGCGGGGACTTCACTGGCCAAAGATTCCTCCACCTGCTTCTAAGTAAACTTCCCTTCCACTGCAGTGCTGTGCAACCTTTTCCCACAGTTCAAGAGTCTCCAACCATCTGGTAAAGGCTTTTTTGAGGATGCAGGAGGAGAGGAGAGGAGAGGAGAGGAGAGGAGAGGAGAGGAGAGGAGAGGAGAGGAGAGGCTGGTTTTTTGAGCTGCCTTCCAATCACACAAGGATTAGATACAAGCCGTATTTATTTTATGAATTATCACAGTAAATAATGTTAGGGTAGCAGTAAGCATATTGTATAGACACGATTCTGAGGGCTTTAACTTACAAGGCAGTCTTCTTGTGCTACTCCACAATACAATTTTTATTGTACTTAAAGCCAGCAAACAAACAAACAAACAAACACATTTCAAACAATACTGTAATCTTGTTTGGAATCCACTATATACCAAACAATTCTTTCAAGCTCTACCGTGTGCAGACCTTCTATAGTTTAATAGAAATTCTAGAACTTTTTCCAAAGTGTCAGCAATTTATTTTAAAAAACAAGACAAATGTTGCTCTGCATTCAGCAGGCAAAGCCTTTTATATTCCTGAGTGCTAATACCCTCTCTTTTTTATGGTGCCAACTTTATCACCAATGAAATTGGGTCTGCCTGATTCAATGTTAACTGTCTTCCTGCAGGTTGAAACCCATGCAAGCAAGCAACCTCGCTCATGGTGTTAATTCATGGTTTACAACTGGCGTTTGCAGTCATGTACGATATTTAGCCTAAAGTAGCAGATAAACAACACATTAAAATTGTCTCATTCAGATTTAACCAGAACAGAAATGGACAAGTTATATCCTCCAAGCTTCTGGTGGTCTAGAACTGTTCATTTTAAAGGTGTGACACCATTTTTATAGTAGATTTCCTATGGGCTTTTTGCAGTTACCTGGTGATGCTTTTCCCAATACTTTATTTCTATGTCAGGAAAAATGGCTCTTGCTGATCCCCCCCCCCCATTTTTCTATGAACAGCAGTTTAAGATTGGGAATCTAGCACTGAATAGGCACCTCCATCTGTGTGTGTATATATGTGAGAGAGAATGTTACACAGAAACTTGTGATTCCAGCTTTCAAAAAAGCAAGATTAGTCAGCAAAGCCATCTTTTTCTGGGTGTAGGCACCTATCTTTGTGTTTAGGCCCCACTAAGTCAAATGCTTAGGGTGGAGGCAAAGAGAATGGGACTGTATCACAGGGGTGCAGAAGCTGTCTCAGTCCAAGAGTCCAATTTCACATCAGAAGAGCTGTTGTGAGCCACATTCCAGTGATAAGCAGGGCTAAAAGGGGGGAAATCTAGTTTAATCTATCTTCCTGTCAGCTATTAAGCCTTAGGTGAAGTATTTCAACCTTTTATCATGGGGCAAATGCACAGAAGCAGGGAACGTTCCCAGTGATTGGTTGGGACAGGAAAGTAGGTAGGACCTTCTAGGGAACCCCAGAGGCCAAGATGAGGATCCCCATTGGCCAGATGCAGCTCCCAGGTCCGAAATGCTGCATCCCTGCTGCCCCACCTCAGAATGCACAAGAGGGCTTCCTGGTATGTGCAAGGCCACACTTGGTTTGCACTCACAGCCAGGGGAAGACTTCCCAGCCTATAGGCAGACTGAGGTGTGGGGTCTGTGAAAGAAGTCGTTCTGAATGTGTCCTCCAAGGTGGTGCTTTCACAGGCTGACATTTAAGACAGATAAAAACTTAAAGTTTTTTTTAAATGGTCAGGACACAGCACATTCTTCTGAGCATTGCATTTCAATTGGAATTGTGTGCTGTTCTTTTTTCTTGTTGCTGGAACTACTATCAGGGGTTGGTGGATTTTCAAGTCAAGGTGTTTAAAAGCAAATACTTCATTGTTCAGACTCAGCATCCCACAGAATCACCATACTTTCATCTGAAGATGTAGAGATAAAGGCAGCCTTTTAGCTATGCAGGTTGCAGGCTCATTTGCTCAGACATGGTGATTAGAGAGAGAAATGGTCTGATTGCTGTTCATGAATGGAGCTGCTGCTGCATAAGGAGAACCAGGAGATGGCAAGGTAGGAAGCAGGAGTGCTGGTGTGTCCTTCTCCAGCTCCTGGATTGGTACCTGCAGTGCTGATGGCAGTCCTCAGGCTGCTGGACCAAAGGCCTCTTCTACGTAGTGCCTCCAGTTGTGCAGAGCAGATGAAGCTGTCTCAGGTGGAGCAGGGCAACACACCTGCCTAGCCTTAGGATGCTCAAGTTTCCTTCTGCACATTGCAGAGGAAATGCTGATTCTCTTCTTCATCCGTTTTTCCTACTGCTTGTAACATGTGGATTGAGAGAGCTGAAATGTTTACTGCGTTTGTTCTTTCTTCCTTTTATTTGTGATCTATGGCCTATATGCAACAAAAGCTTTCTACAGTGATGTTTCAAAATATAGTGCCAAGGCTGTGTGAGCCAATAAAAACATTTTAGTGTCTGGGAACAGTGTGGAGTTCTTTTAAAAATACTTCACATTACTCCCATTAGACTTTAGTCAAACTTCTACCACAATCCGACCACCCTTTTCACTTTTGACTGTAAACTTCTTTCGTATTTTTCTCTCCCACCGTGATGAGCTCCAGCTATCTAATTATTCTATTCTTCCAGCACTGATTTGAACCAAAGTAAGCCCATATGCAAGATTTTTTTTAAAGGTACAGGTTGTGAGTATATTTTAAAACTTATGAATATTTAAACAGTTTGGAATTTACTCAAATATGTTCTGCCATTTCTATAACTAGATCTGTTTGGATTTCAAAATACCAAAAGGCAAGCTATTGTGTGTGCAGAATTTAGCGAGCCTTCAAAAACAAACTCTGTATGCAGTTCATTAACCTTTTGGAGATTGTTTGCTCTGCTTCTTTAAAACAGTTCTGTGCAAGAGGCAGCAAATGCTTCCTATTTTATTTCATGGGCCAGGATGATTGAGACCGCTGCAAAAGATGTTGGAATACAGGATTATTTTCTGGAATGACTGAATTTATGTATATATAATATTTCAACAAGGATGATGGGCAGGGAAACAAACTTGGAAGCCTTGGGATGCAGTACAGCAGCAAGGATGTTGCCTTCAGTTCTAGGCAA